CTTTAAGCTGGGCAGCTGTGTATCTGTTTTCTCTGCAAACAGGACCTCCATCAAACGGAAGGTCCCGGACAGAGTTCTGGGTCTCTCAGGAGAGACCCGGAAGCAGGAGCCACGTCAACCTGTGCATCGGCACTGTTCACACTATGGACCAAGCCACTGAGTCAGCGGTGCCTGGATCTGCTTGTGGCGCTGTCCTGGCCACTGCTGCCCACTCGTCCACCAGTGCTCAGAACTCTTTTCTGGGGTTCACCAGCAGAGAGTTCAAATTTGGTCCTTAGTTGGGACAAAGTATTTATTTTCCACCCTTTTTGAAATTGATGGGATTGGGGAAGGTGTCTGCTACAACGCCTTTGTTATCTTGGCGACCTCCTTTCCTGGCCCAAAGAGGATGTCCGCGGACTCCACCACCTCCTTTGCTGTAGATCCAGGTTGGCGCCAACCCACTTCCAAAAGTCCTGATGGGTCTTCTAGTCATCCTGCAGGATCACCAGAGGGGACCCCACTATGGCCTCACCTAGTGAGGAAGAGGAAGAGGCCTGGGCTGACTGTTCCTCCCCTTGTGAGGGCTGATCCTCTGCCTCCTCCTGGAACATGGAGATGCCCAGCTTAGCCACCTCCAAGGGTGCTGGGAGGAGGCCCCATCTGCACCGAGGCTGTGGCCACCGACTGTGCCATCTGTGGTTGCACGAGAAAACCCCATGGAGTCCAAGGGCACCATTGTGAGGGCCAATGTGATGAGGTGGGCGGCCCAGAACATGGCCCTGACGACTGTGCCAGTGTGGGGAGGGAGCCTTCCAATGGGGCACTGGCCGAAGCCCAAGATGGAGACTGGGTGTTAACAAGGTGTGGGGGAGTCATCAGGCCCTGCACCCCAATCCGCAGCCAGACCGGACTCTTAGCCGGCAGGTAGAAGAGAAGGTTTATCAGGTGACAGGGACACAGTGTGGAGCAGCCTTGTCAGCACAGGAACCAGAAGGAGCCAGCACCATCCATCTGGGGGAGGGGCCTCAGCCATGGGCCCCAACCCTCCTCCTAGCACCCCAAGCCTGTGAGACTCACTCACACACCCCTGGCAGCCTGTCTACCCTCCAGCCAGCCCTGCCTCTGGCCTTTGTCCGGCTTCCTGAACAAAAGGTGTCACCTGCTCACACCCCCTCACAGGCTCAGGCTACAGAAAGCATCAGCCATCGTGTGCCTGAGGGAGACACTCACACCCAAATTCCCATCCCCATCTCACTATTGGTGCAGTGCCCAGGGAAACTGAGGCACACACAAAGGGTTACTACAGGACAGCAGAAATCACACACAAGATAGTGAACCGAATGAATACAACCCCCACTTTGCCACACCGAGTACCATGGCCCCTCTGGTGCCAGGAACTGCCGGAGTAGGGCAACCTCGGAGACTGCAGAGTTTGTCCATGGTGGCAGATTGGAGACCGGTGGTGGTCTATAGACCTACACTGTCTCGGCGAAGACTGGCGATGAGGAGGTGACTTCTTGTGCTGGGAGGAAGAGCTGGACCTAAAGCTCCGTGTCTCACATCCCGAGTACCTAGGTGCCGGCTGGTAGCTCCGGAGCGTGGAATGGCACTGTCCTCGTGGGGGGTCTGTCCTGAGAGTGGCTCTTTGAGCATAGTGAGTGCCTAGCTCCAACATGCCTTGCTTGCTGGGTGGCGTGTGCCTCCGTCAATGCCCTGGCTCCCATGGCCGACCCGTCTCTCCCTCACCAAACGAGCAGGGCTGTAGAGCGCTGTGCTGAGCAATCTTACAGGAGTGGCCATGTCACATGCCCGGGTAGCGAGGCACCAGAGAGGGCTTCTCCCTCTCCCAGGCTGTGGTGCTGACAGTGCCGGTGAGACTGGTAAGGAGATAATGTCCTGCACTACCTGAAACACCTCTGGGGTGGAGGGATCCTGGTATGCCTAGAGACCATGGCAGGTAGCCAGGAGGGTCATCCTGCTTCGGCTGTGTGGCCTCATCCGAGGCCTTCTCCTTCTCCTATAGCAGCTTGGACTTCCTTTTACATGGGCTGGGGGACTTGTCCTTGCCCGACTTCTGGGACTACCAATGACCCCTGGTGCCAAGATGTTGATGGCACCGGGGGCACCTGTACTTGGTATGGGTCCAAGCCTTGGTCTGATGGAGCCAAAGGTGACTCCATCAGCAGAGCCTTATGTCTCTCTGTTAAGGTCCTGGGATGGAAGGACCTACAGCTATGGCATTTTTTGCCGATATGGCCCTCATCCAGGCAGCAAAGGAAGTTGTTGTGAGGGTCACTAACTGGCACAGGCATGCGACAGATAGCTAACTGGGCAGACCCCATCTCTGGGCAGAATCCCAGCAGGGGACATCTACAAACTAACCACAGATAACGCTTACAGATATTTACACTGGAATAGGGAATACACAAGGAACGCTGCAGCTATGGGTGGAGCACAGTTCCAAGCACCAAGAAGGAACAGGACAGGGAGGGGCCCACTGGTGCACTATATAGTGCAGCATGTGCGCACCACTCCAGGGGGCGCTGGGACCTGGTCCTCTGTGGATACAGAGGGAAAAACTTTCAGCACCAGTGCATGTGGTGAGCACACACAGCTACGCTGGATGGACATACGCAAGCACTGGAAGAAGAATGACAACGTTCCTGATTCTAAGGAACAGTAAGAGGGAGAACAGCAGAGTAAAGACAATGGATTTCAAGGCAGACGTTAGAGCAAACCTAGGGAGCTGATAGGAGAGGCCCCATGGGAAGCAAGTCTAAGGCGGAAAACAATTGAAGACAGTTGGCAGTTTTTCAAAGAGACATTATTATAGGCACAAGAGCAAACCATCCCTCTATGTAGGAAAGACAGGCAGCATGGCAAGAGACCACCCTGGCTTAACCAAGAGATCTTCAATGGTCTAAAAATCAAAAAGGAGTCCTATCAAATGTGAAAACTAGGTCAAGTTACAAAGGATGTATATAAACTAACACAAGTATGTCGGGGAAAATTTGAAAGGCCAAGACTTACAACAAGCTCAAACTAGCTAGAGACATAAAAGGTAACAAGAAAACATTCTAAAAATACATTAGAAGCAAGTAGAAAACGAAGGACAAGGTAGAACTGTTACTCAATGTAGAGGGGGGGAAAAAAACCCCCGAAAATGTGGAAATGGCAGAGGTGCTAAATGACTTCTTTGTTTTGGTTTTCACCAAAAAGATTGGTGGTGATTGGATGTCTACGATAGTGAGTGCCACGGTAAATGGGATAGGTTCAGAAGCTAAAATAGGGAAAGGACAAATTAAAAATTACTTAAAAGGAAAATAAGGACATCCCAGAAAATTAGACCAGTCAGTTTAACTTCTATGCCAGGAAAGATAAAGGGGCAAATAATTAAGGAATTCATATACAAACATCTGGAAGATAATAAGGTGGTAAGTAACAGCATGGATCTGTCAAGAGCAAATCACATCAAACCAACTTGATAGCTTTCTTTGACAGGGTAACGAGCCTTGTGGATGGGAGGGGGAAGGAGTAGATGTAGTAAAGCTAGATGTTAGTCAGGGATTTGATACTGTCTTGCATGACCTTCTCATTAACAAACTAGGAAAATACAACCTTGCTGGAGCATAGGTGTCTGCATAACTAGATAACTGTTCCCACAAAGTGTTATCAATGGTTCACAGTCATGCTGGAAGGGCTTAACAAGTGGAGTTCCGCAAGGGTCAGTTTTAGGACCAGTTCTGTTGGTTTAGATAATGGTATAGAGAGTGCCCTTTTAAAGTTTGTGGATGATACTAACCTGGGAGGGATTTCAAGTGCTTTGGAGGATAGCATTGTAATTCAAAAGAAATGGACAAACTGGAGAAAGGGTCTGAGGTAAATAGGATGAAATTAAATCAGGACAAAAGCAAAGTACTCTGATGAGGAAGGAACAATCAGTTGCACAAATACAAAATGGGACGTGACTGTTTAGTAAGGAGTACTGCAGAAAGGGATCTAGGCGTCAGTGGATCACAAGCTAAATATGGGTGAACTGTTAAAAAGAAGTAAATATGATTCTGGAATGTATTAAGAAGCACACTGTAAGCAAGACATGAGAAGTAATTCTCCCACTCAACTCTGTGCTGATTAGGCCTCAGTTGAATAACTGTGTCCAGTTCTGGGCACTGCATTTCAGGAAAGATGTGAATTGGAGCAGGTCCAGAGAAGAGCATGAAAAATGATTCAAGGTCTAGAAAACTTGACCTTGGTGGAAGACTGAAAGAATTGGGTTTGTTTCGTTTAGAAAAGAGAAGACTAAGACGGAACATGATAGCAGCTTTCAAGTACCTAAAAGGGTGTTAGAAGGAAGAGGGAGAAAAATTATCCTCCTGAACCTCTGATGATAGAACAAGAAGCAATGGGCTTAAATTGGAGCAGGGGAGGTTTAGGTTGGACATTAGGAAAACCTGGAATAAATTGTCTAGGGAAGCTGTGGAATCTCCATCACTGAAGATGTTTAAGACCAGGTTAGACACATTCCTGTCAGAGATGGGCTAGATGGTGCTTGGCCCTGCCAGGCATGCAGGAGACAGGACTCGGTGCCTTCTTAGGGCCCCTTCCCATTCTACAGCTCTCTGACCTGCTGAAGGTGACCAGACAGTCAGTGGCAGAATCAGGAAGAGAACGCAGGTGTCCTGCCCACTAGAGTCTGTTGCTTAGAAGCCTGAGGGAAGAGGGGACACATCAAGAGAGGGGCCTGGGTACTTGAGCATGCTGGGCATGGGGTCCCAAAGGACAAGGGAGGTTGGGCTCCTGTGGGGGCTGAAGATAGGGCCCAAGGGATAGGTGGGCAGGAGAGCTGGAGGGGGGGGGGAGGGGAGCTGGGCATGGGGCCTGAGAGGTCAAGGGGTCAGTGAGATTGGGGGGGCACACATGGGGCCCGAAGGCTCAGGGAAGCAGGTGACTGGGGAGCTAGTCGCAGGTAGGGAACCTAGGGGTGCCAGGCACAGGGCCTGGGGAGGTGGAGGCCTTACCTGGCTCTCACAGCGTGGCCCTGCCGACTGCTGCCCCCGGCCCCACTGGTGTTGAGTGCAGTGGCGATGGATGATGTTCGCTGGGGGACCTGGCAGTGGGGGGAGCACAAAGGTGAGGGGGCTATGGCGGTATTGCACCCAGGAACCCTTTCCACCTCCCCTGGAATCCAGGTCTGCTTCTCACCCCGGCCTCTGGGCAGGGAGGGAAAAGCAGCAGTGGGAGTGGCTATGCCCAGGCCAGTACTCCTTTGTGCTCCCCCCACCCTGGCAGCATGGCACAGTGCCTGTTACCTTGGGCGGGGCCTCAGGCTCCGTGCGGACCCATGGCCCCCGCGGGTCAGCGGCGTTGGTTCGTGTGGGTGGTGCAGGTGTCTCCGAGGTGGGGTCTGAGTTCTGGCGGATCATGGCGTTACGGGGTGGGGTGGGAGCAGCCGGGTCCTGCACAGGGAAGGCTGCCACGTTCTTGGTGGGTTGGTCTTGCAGGGACTGGGAGCGTGGTACTGGCGCAGCGTAGGGCTTCAGCGGCACGCGGTGTGCCAAGTGGCTCTGCAGAGAGAGGAGAAATCAACGCCTGGTTCCCTGGGGTCTCACTGCACTGACAAGCCCTGCCAGATCCCACCCCAGTACTCCCCATAGCACCGGCATCCCTAGTGTCCCTGTCCAGCACCCCCCTCAGAAGACAGAACCCAGGAGTCCTGCCACCCAGGCCCAGGTTCGAGGGGAGAGAGGCAGCTCACATGGACAGTCCCACTTGCAGCCAGGAAGAAGCACTGCCCACCCCTCCCCCATCCCTCTGCTACCTTGTGCTGCCCCTCCTGAGGCTCAACGGGGCGCTGCATGGGCGGAGTCTGGGCTGCCGGGCCAGAGCCCAGGGACACTGACTCTGGGCGTGTTTGAAGGGCAGGGTCTGACATGGTGCCACCCAGCTTCGTCTGGGCTGCTGGCGAGCTCTGCTTATTCAGTCGTGTCCGCTCCTCCACCTGCGCGGCAGGAGTCCTGGCTCCCAGCCCCCCCACTACAACCCAGCAGCCCCCACTGCCCTCTCAGAGCCAGGCAGAGAACCCAGGTGTCCAAGTTCTCCCCCAGTACTACTGTTGGATGATGGTGGCAGGGGGCATACAGGAGCTACTGTCTTGTCCTGAGGAGAAGTCCCAAGGGTTGGGGGTCTCTAGGGATGGGCACTCCACTGGGGTGACCCTTATGGGAAGTATAGGCCCCAGGAGTGCTGGGCAGTAGTGAGGCCTCATGCCCAGTTGGGCACAGGAGTGTCCCCATCTGGGGCTGCCCTGGACCCCACACCAGGCTGAGTCTGGAGACCCCAGCTGTGGCACGGGGTGGCGCAGACCTGGCTGCTTCCCCTAACCTGTGTCTGGGCTCCCCCATATGCCCAGAATATAACCCCTATCTGCCCCTGCTTGCCATGCCCACTGTGTGGCCAGACCTGTGCCCTGCTCTGTACCTCCCGGGCCCAGGTGGGCTTGTCAGCAGCATGGGCACTGCGGTTGTAGTGGTACAGAGGTTTCTTGTCACTCGCTGGCGCCCCCTGCTGCTGTTGCTGCTGTAGGGACTTCAGGTAGGCGTGTTCCTGCTGCAGCTGGCGCTGGAGCCGCTCTGACTGCCGCTGCTCCTCTAGCTGCTTCCGCTTGTACTCCTGGAGGTGGCAGGGGGGCATGCTGCTGGGGGACTGGGGCTGGCCACTGCAGGGCTGACAGGCAGGTGTGCGCTCTGGGGGATGGGTGCAAACCCAGGCATCCTGCCACATGCACAAGGGGAACCCAGGCATCCCGCCACAAGCACGCACACGATGGGTACCCCGGGGCCCCGCCACATACACGGACACTGGAGAGCTCAGGCATCCTGACATACGGGGTGCATGCGAGGAACCCAGAGGTCCTGACACACCCTGAGGGGATGCAGAGTTAGAAAGGGATAAACTCTGATACTCTGCACACGTCTGGGGTAGCCCCCACTGTTGGATGGGGGTGGTGATGATTGTTTTGTGGTCTGATGCAGCTCTGGCCCCTAAGTGCACAGGCTGTAGGGGATGGACCCTGCCCCCAATACACCCACCCTTGCTGCTTGGCAAGGTGCCACTCCGTCCCAGGCCAAACAACCCCCCTGACGGGTGTGGCCCAGCCTTGGTGGCATATTGCACTGTGGGTATTCTTCAGAGCCAAGAGCAACTTAGAGCAGCTACAAGGCAGGGTCAGTGAACCAAGGGGAAGGGCCAAGGGGCATCATCTCTGAGGGAGGCTGCAGCGAGGGACTGGCACAGCTCGGGGCACACCCCTCTTCCCACCCTGGCTGGAGAAAGGCCCTGGTTACCAGAAGCAGAGCCTGTTCTTGCAGTAGTTGCTGCTGGAGAATTTCTAGCTGTCTCTGCTCCTCCTCTAACTTGTGCCTGATATACTCCTGGAGAGGGATGGACAGAGAAAGAGAGAGAGAGACAGAGAGAGGTCACAGAGACCAGGGCCCCAGGGCCCTAGAGAGAGAGACAGATCAAGCAAAAAGGGGGGGGGGTTGGCCAGACCCCATGCAGAGGAGCCCATCCTGGGAGACCCACAGACTTGGGCACCAGGGGAGATTTGAACCCTTGGCTGAAACGATCCGGGGCACTGACCGCTAGAGCGCGGTGGGAAGGGGCTCCAAGTTCACAAGATCAGAAGTTAGAATAGAATAGAATCCAGGAGTCCTGGCTCCCAGCCCCCCTGCTCTAACTACCAGGCCCCACTCACCTCCCAAAGCCAGGGAGAGAACCCAGGAGTCCTGGCTCCCAGCTCCCCTGCTCTAACCCACCACCTCCCACTCCTCTCCCAGAGCTGGGGAGAGAATCCAGGAGTCCTGGTGTGATGTTACTGGGATATGAGATAACATATAAATCAGTTGCAACCACTGTTATATGTTTGCACTGAATCTTGCACTAAGTGGGCAAAGTGTTTATGAAAAGCTTATGCTTTGCTGAGTCTATTTATATGCAGGAATCATAGTTGCATGTGAAGTTCTGAGTATCAGCTCTGTGCGTGTATTGCAAAGGTTTCTGCAGGGGGCTGGGCCACCCTATTGTGAGAAGACTGTTAGTCAAGTGACTAGCAGCATTTCACAGGCAATAGGCCTTGGCTGGTGCCGATCCACGGCAGATGAGCTTCCCTGTGAAGGTTCAGACCTGCCCGTGAGCGATGGCTGCTCAGGCCTGAGTCAGGCATGGACAGTGACTGGTCACGTGACAAACTCCATTTTGAGAAGTATCCGAGGGGTAGCTGTGTTAGTCTGAATCTGCAAAAGCGGCGAGGAGTCCTGTGGTACCTTATAGATTAACTGAAGTGTAGGAGCACAAGCTTTCGTGGGGAAAGACCCACATGCATCTGACGATGTGGGTCTTTGCCCACAAAAGCTTATGCTCCTACACTTCAGTTAGTCTATAAGGTGCCACAGGACTCCTCGCCGCTTTTCCATTTTGAGAGGCTCTTTCACAGGAGAGCAGTGGGATTCCCTCCATGTGGGCAAGGGTAGAATGAGGGCCCTGGGGGCACCTCCATTTTTCTCTTCACTGCGGCTAATCACCTTCGCAGGATCCCTGCTGGGAGCTGACGCAGGAAAGGACTGTTGATCCATCCTAACAGAGAATGTATCCCAGAGACTTCTTGTAAAACAGCAGATGATTCCATCTCTGCTAAAACCTGCACCAAGAACTGTGCAAGCGGCGAATGTAACTCGAGCCCTTCAACAATTCTACTCCCTTCCTCCCCCTCCTCTTCCGTCCTTTCCACCGTTAGATTCTAAAGGATTGGCATAGGCTAACATCAGAGATACATATTGATCTGGGAATGTGCCTGACCCCTTGGGATTGGAAGAACCTGTTCTGATTTGGGGAGACTGGTTTTCATAGCCTCTCTCCATTATAAGGAGTGGTACTGGTGGTATCACAGGAGGGCTGGCATATCGAAGGGGCTTGCTTGTGGGACGGACCTCTTGCTGGCCAATGTGGCAAACAGAACTCTCTTTGTGATTGGTTGTGTGTGCCTTGTAGTGGAGGACCCCCCAGTCTTAGGCTGTAAGTAGCCCTGTCTCTAAGCAGTTCTCTCTCATTTGACCTTCTTAACGGTGCCCCAGAAACCTTTTATTGCACCTGGCTCTGAGCCTCTCCCCCTGCCCTCCCTGATCCACTTGCCCCCACTCCACTTCTGAAGAATCAGTGTCTAGCTAGAGGCCCTGCTAAGGCCCAGCCTGGCTCAGATAAAGGGATGAACGTGGCATGCCAGGCAGGTGGATTACCTGGGGTGACCATCTCCCCAGGAGGCAGCAGCAGCTGCAGGGAGTTCCCAGGACCGCAGCCACCTGGCCCCATCTCCCACAGCCTCCACCATGGGGGTAGCTGGGGCTGAGCAAGGGCAGGGTGGGTGCGGGCTGTACCTGCTCACGCTCTGCCTGCCTCCGCTCCTCCTCCCGCCGCAGCACCTGCATGTCCTCCAGCCGCCGCTGCTGCTCCTTCTCCTGCAGCTTGCGCTGCTCCCGCTCCCGACGCTGCTGCTGTGGAGGGAGGGAGCCAGCAGGACACGTGGAACCAGCCGTGTCCAGGGGGACCCAGGTGTCCTGGCTCACAGTCCCCTGCTCTACCCTCCGGCCCCCACTCCTATCCCAGAGCAGGAGGGAGAGCCCAGGAGTCTTTGTTTCAAGCCTTCCCTGCTCTGACCCTACAGCCCCACTACCCTCCCAGAGCTGGGGCAAGAACCTAAGAGTCCTGGCTTCCAGCCTTGGCCTGCGCTAACTCACTGGAGCCCTGCCCCTGCCAGGCCATGGATGTACCCAGGAGCCCCTCCCTCCCTGTGGTATGATGTACCCAGGCATCTGCCCCCCCACCCCCGCTCACCTCCTCCACGCGCCGCCGCTCCTGCTTCTGCTCCTCAATCCGGCGCTGACGCTCGTGCAGCAGCTGTTTGATGTGGGCCTCTGAGTCGCGGTGCTGGGCTGCCAGCTGCTGTTGCTGCTTGAGCGCCGCCTCCGAGTGGCTCTTGTTCTCCTGTTGCAGGCGCAGGAATTCCCGCCGCAGTGTCGACTCGCCCGGCACGTTCATGATGGAGCTGGGGCAGGTGGGGGTGTCACACCTCCACCCACAGAATCTGGCCCTGCTTACCTGGCCAGGTCCTGTCCACAAAGACCTGAATGGTCTCTGCCCCACCCTGCCCACAGAATCTGGCCCCACCCACATAGAGCTCAACAGTCCAGGCCCCACCCACAGAACCTGGCTCCACTCACACAGATCACAATGGTCCCTGCCACACCCCACCCCAAAACCTGCCCTCTGCCCACACAGACTTCAACAGAGCTGGCCCCGCCCATACAGCCGGACTCTGTCCATAGAAGCTGTCTCCACTCACACTGACTTCAATAGTCCTGTCCCTGCCCACATATATCTCGAAAGTAATGGCCCACCCACACAGCCATGCACCTTACCCACATGCTCCCTGATAGCCACACTCTTTGTTCTGCCCTGAGCTGGCCAGCACCATGCCCAGTGGCCCCAAACTGTAGTCCCTGTGGTGCTCCACAACCTCACCCATTCAGCTGCACTCCAAAACCACCTCAATTGTCCCTGCTGTCGCCAATCATTGCCCTGCCCACCTACCCCCTGCTACCAGGGCCCTGCCCACCTGGCTCCACTCTAGTGTCATGCCCTCATGCTCACAACCAATGGCAATGCAATCTCGCCCCTCGACAGCCAGTACTATGCTCGTGCTGACCCTGCTCATACGCCCCAGGCCCTTCCTGTGCCCCACAGAATCCCTGCCCCTCAACACCTACCTGGGCTCCCCTTCCTCCCCGTGGCTGTCGTCCTCCTCCTCACTGCCGCTGTACTCATACTCTGTCTCGTCTGGGGAACAAGAGAACTCTGGTTACACAGACTGGGGCTAGCACCCCTATAGGGGACAAGTCCCTGCCCCATTCCCCGTCCCTGGAGTTGGGTGGGAGCCAGTGCCCCCTATAAGGAACAGGCCTCTGTCCCACCCCACTCACCCTTCTCTCCTCTCTTCTTGCGAGAGCGGTCGATGTGGTCCTTGAGCTGGATGCGGACCTGGCGCTCAGTGGGCTGGTCACGGATGAAGGGAAATTTCAGCAGCTGCTCAGTGGGTGGGCGGTTCATGTAGGCTTTGATCAGGCAAGTGTCTATGAAGTCGATGAATTTCTTGGACCTGGGGGAAGGTGGATGAACACAGGCTGAGAACCTGGCCCAGCTGCTTAGGTCAGATGGGTCCATGACATTAGTCCACAGTGCATCGGAGCCCAGGTAGCATCAACTCAGTCCTGGCTTGCCTGCTGGGGTGCGGGGCCAGGGACTGTAAGGGAGGGACGGCCCATTGTCCCCAGCTGGGGGAGCAGTGACTATGAGGGAGGGACAGCCCACTGACCCCAGCTGGGGGGGGAGGCAGTGACTGTGAGGGAGGGATGGCCCATTGACCCCATCGTGGGGGGGGCAGTCACTGTGAGGGAGGGACGGCCCATTGACCCCAGCTGGAGGGGGCAGTGAATATGAGGGGAAAACGACCCATTTACCTCAGCTGCGGGGTGGAGGGGGGGAAGCAGTGACTGTGAAGGAGGGACAGCCCATTGACCCCAGCTGGGTGGAGGCAGTGACTGTGAGGGAGGGATGGCCCATTGTCCTCAGCGTGGGGGGGAGGGCAGTGACTGTGAGAGAGGGACAGTCCATTGACCACCACTGGGGAGGCAGCGAGTGCAAGGGGAAGTACTACCCACTGACGTACCATTTCTTGGACTTGAGCTTGGGTGGTGGGTTGCGGGGGATGAGGAAAAGCGCTCGCATGGGGTGCATGTCGCACAGTGCTGAGGGGGAAGAGACACAATCACACAGGGGCTGCACCCCTCTGCCAGTCCCAGGCTCCCTTCAGCAGCTCTTCCCAGGATGAGCACAATGCTCATAACACTTATGATCCCCCACAGATCCTTATATCCCCTAGCATTGCTGGAGATCAAGCCAAGCAGCCCTGGCTTCCAGCCCCTCACCCCACCCTAACCCAACAGTCCCCACTCTTCTCCCAGTTGGGGAGAAAACCCAGGCATCCTAGCTCCCAGCCCCACTCTAACCCACAAGCTCCCACTCGCCTCCCAGAGCCAGAGTGAGAACTGTGGAGAACGCTCTCCTCTTGCCCCAGGTTACTAGTCCTCCAAGTGTGTGTGTGGCTGGGCCGAGTGGGCACCTTCTAGGAATATGGCCACATGCCAGTGGGGGAAGCCGCAGGTGCAAGTAAGAGCCTGGCACTTACGTGGTGCCCCCTCAGCCATCTCGATAGCAGTGATGCCGAGGGACCAGATGTCACTCTGCAGAGAGAAAGGAGAGATGGGTTGGGAGTGGAGAGCTCCCTGCCCTGTGGCAGCTGAGGGGGGGGTTGGGAGCCTCTCTGCCTGCAAGGGAAGTGGGCTCTGGGGAAGCCAGAAGCGGGGGTACTCAGTGTGTGTGTCTGTGGGGATCAAAGTGTGAGGGAACATAAGAGAGATTCGATGAGGTGTGAGTAACCCTGATATCAAAGTGTGTGTATGGGGTGTGGGTAGGGACAACTGGGATATACAGAATCCAGAGGGGATCAGAGTCTGGGGAGGACCCAGGGAAATCGGGGTGGGGGGATTAGGGAGGGGAGACCCAAGGGGACTGGGATGTGGGGAACCTAGGAATCAGAGCACAGGGAAGATCTGGGGAGATCAGGGTGGGGGGGATTGGGACGGGCAGCCTGGGAGACTGGGATGTGGCAAACACGAGGATCAGAGGGTGAGGAGGACCCAGGGAGATCGGGTCAAGGGATTGGGACATGGGGAACCAGAGGGAGCAAAGTGGAGGGAACCCAGCGTAATGTTCTCTGATTAAAATATGACCATGTAGATCACTGTTGCAACCACTGTTACGTTTGCAATAAATCTTGTCCAAAGTGGCCCAAGTGAGGTGTCTATGGAAAGTGTATGGTTTGCTGGTTACAACTGTACCATTTGTATGCATATATCATTGTTGTATTGAAAGTTATCAGTATTGGCGATGTGCTTGTATTACAAATGTTTGCTCCTGAGACATACCAAGAGGAGGCCGGGCCAGCCTATTGTGAAGGGATATTTGGGTTGAATAGCAGAACTTGACTAACACTGGGCATGGGAGGTGCCAATCCACATCTGAGGAGCTTTTCTGTGAACGTTCATACCAGCATGGCAGCCATGGCGTCCACCTGCAAATAACTGAGGCTTGGGGCTTTCTCCCTCCCCAGTGAGAAGCTGGGGGTAGGAGCAGCAGAGCTGGAGTGCCAGCATGGCCTCCCCTCTGCAGGGGGGAGTGGCTGAGCCTTGAGCCAGCGGCCATGGACTGTTAGATTGCAATCTGAGAATCACCGTTATAAACAGAGGATGGAATGACCCATCTAACCTGCAGATGTGCTCCAGAGACTTAAGCCAGCAACTTATTCCACCCTCTGTTACAAGCTTGAACCAAGAACTTGGCAACTGATATGTGTAATTTGATTCCTTTAACAGTTTTATCTCTCTCTCTCGCCAACCTTTAGATGTTAGATTCTAAAGGACTGGGACAGCATGCTTTTTGGGTAAGATCTAAGGTATACATTGACCTAGGATGTGGCTGGTCCTTTGGGACCGAGAGAACCTGTTCAGATTTAGTAAGATTGGTTTTCATAACCTCTGATCTATATAAGGTATAATGCTGGTGGCGGCACCAGGAAGAGTTACCTGTTTTGATAACTGGTGTTCGAGATGTGTTGGTCATGTCCATTCAACATAGCTGTGTGTGCTCGCCATATGGACTGATGCCAGAAGATTTTTCCTCAGCAGTACCAATAGGGGACAGGTCCAGTGCCCCTTGGAGTGGTGAACACATGCCATGCTAGATAGGGCACGCTTGAGCCCTTCCCTCTTCCGTTCCTTCTTGCTGGAAACACTCCAACAGAGTAAGGAGGGTGGGAAGTTGAATGGACATGAGCAACACATCTCGAAGAACACCTGTCACAGAAACAGAGAACTATCTTTTCTTCATCAAGTGACTGCTCATGTCCATTCAACATAGGTGACTGCAATTAGTACCTGTGGAGGCAGGTAGGAGTTCAGGGACATGCAGATTGCAATACTGCTCTGACAAATGCCAGGTTGTCTCTAGAGTACTGCGTGATGATGTAAAGAGATGTGAACTGAAGACCACATTGCTGCATGGCAGATATCCTGGATCAGGCCATGGGCAAGAAAGGCCTCCGAAAAGGCCGGAGCCCTAGTCGAATGAGCCCTCACCAATGAGAGCAGCTGAGCATCTGCCAATTTGTTAACATGTGAGGATGCAAGAGGTGATCCATTTAGCGATCCCCTGGGCGGCGGAAGCAGGGTTGGAGGCAGCGGGGTTGTTCGGCGGAGATCGGGGAGGGCAGGCGGTGGAACCAGGGCTGGCTGGGGGACGGGGGGACTGGCTCGGGGAGATCAGGAGGAGGAGGATGGGAGAACCAGCCGCCAGAAGCAGGGCTGGACTGGGGAGATCGGGAGAGGAGGGGAGGGGAGCGGGACTGACCCGGGCACATGCAGACCCTGTGGACCCTGGCAGATGAGTGAGTCCGGCCGGGGATTCCATTTCCTCCCCTCCTCCCATACCCTCTCTTGAGTAGTTGCGAACTGCCCGGCAGGTAGACACACTCAGGCAGCGTGAACACATCTACCAGCCAGGCAGTTCACAGCTAAAGACTGATACAGCTAATTATAATAAAACGTACCTAATTAGAAAATACCAGACATTTTATATGTCTGGTAATTTCTCAATTTGTTTCCCAGACAAAACCCTCAAATACCAGACTGCCTGGTACAAAACCACGGTACAAAACCGGACACCTGGCAACCCTACCTTTCCTTGCACCCTCCCTCCTAGCCAGATACCGTACCCCCAATCTGCTCCTGCTCCCGCCACCCAAAGTGCTCATGTGGTGCCGGGTCCCCCAAGTCCTGGCCCAAGCTGGGCTGAGGACGCAGCCGGGTGAAACACTGAAAATTTATTCATTTTTCATTCTTTTTTTAATATGCGTTTATATTTTTGGGCTGCAAAAAACAGTACTGAAAAAAAATGGGTTCCAACTAAAGTAAAAAGTTTGGGAAACCCTGATTTAGCCAGCTTTCTATCCATCTTACAGTCCATTTATCCAATCCATATTCCCTTAACTTGCTGGCAAGACTATTGTGGGTGACTGTATCAAAAGCTTTGCTAATGCTGGCACTGGGGGCTTTGAGAGGACCAGAAACAACTTATTTGAATATTCATAATTTGCTTAATGAATATGCAAATATGTAAATGAATGTTACCAGCCTTCCAAAAGCTCGTGAATGGATTTACTGGTCCCCGTGTCAAAAAGTTTGGAAACCCCTAGGATAGAGGACTGGAAGGAATATATCCTGCCCCAAGTGAAACGCTGACAACACCTTGGAAAGGAGCAAGTGTTAGGCCAGGAGTACACAGACATTAGCCATATCTGGAACAGACGTATCTTGAGCGTTCCGAGGAACACGATATAAGTGTTATTTTCCTTGCTGGAAACAGAACTCCAGTTTAAACCCCTCCAAAACATCATTGACAATCTACAACCTATCTTGGAAAATGATCCCTCACTCTCACAGGCCTTGGGAGACAGGCCAATTCTTGCCTACAGACAACCCCCCAACCTGAAGCAAATCCTTTCCAGCAGCCACACATCACACTTCAGATATACTCCATGACAAATTCCATTGCCAACTCTGTCCACATGTCTATACAAGCGACACCATCAGAGGACCTAACCACATAAGCCACCAAATCAGGAGCTCATACCACTGCAAATCCTCTAATGTGATATATGCCATCAAGTGCCAGCAATGCCCCTCTGCCATGTATATTGGCCAAAGTGGACAGTCTCTATGACAAAGGATAAATGGACACAAATCAGACATCAGGAATGGTAATACATAAACTTGTATGGGAATATTTTAATCTGATTGGTCATTTAATCACTGATTTAAAAGTAGCCATTCTTCTACAAAAGAATTTCACTACCCAGTTACAGAGAAAGAAATGTAATTTATCTACGGTTCTGACACAGGTTACCCTGGCTTGAATAAAGACATTAACTGATTAATGCTTTACAAAGCAAATTTCCCCTGCCTTTAGCATCTGCACTTTTACATCAAAAAATATAATTGGGACACAGCCAGCTACTTAATTAACCTCATTAACACAAGTACTTCTTTTATTGTTATCTATCTAATCTATCTATATTTCTGTTATTTCCATTCCAACTCATCTGATGAAGTGAGTTTTACCTATGAAAGCTCATGGTACTATATAATTTGTTAGTCTCTAACGCAGGGGTGGGGAACCTCAGGCCCAGGGATCTGCATCTGGGCCCCGAGGCTCAGGGCCCCCCAGCATTGCATAGCCAGCACTGGTGCTCCAGCTCCCACAGCTGGGGCACACAAAATCTACTAGCCTGGCGTGGGAGGGGAATGTGGGGAGTGTCACAGCTGGAAGCCAACAAGGGTGTTGGGTTTTATTTTATTTATTTATTTATTTTCACTTGTGTGGTGCGTGGCCCCAGTTTCGGGGCTGATTTTTCTGTGGGTAAGTGGCCCCTGACCTAAAAGAGGTTCCCCATCCCTGCTCTAAATTGCCACAAAACTACTTGTGGTTTTTAAAGTTATAGACTAACATGGCGACCCCTCTGAAACTGAATAGGGAAAGTTAACTAAGCTACAGCTAAGGCTGGAACACACTGTTCCAAGCACTGTCACTGAGGAGGGAGGGGCCCAGGGGGATCTGAGACCAGTCCCCTATGGGTACTGCTGAGGGAAAATCTTTCCGCACCGGTCATACAGCTATGTTGAATGGACATGAGCAAGCACCCAATGGAACTGGAGCGTCTGAGGGGATTGTTGGCTGGTGCGGGAACAGATGTGCTCTGTGCGACTGGCTGGGTGCCACAGAGTGGAGGACACCCAGCCTTGGATTGAGCAGCATAGTTTCTGAGCTATTGGCCCTGAACTGGTACTGTCAGCTATGCCCCAGAAATCCCTTGTTGCATTCAGGTGGATTGGGGAGGGAGGACCAGGAACCAGGGGTATCAGAGTGGGGGAAGGATGTGAGGAAATTGGGGGAGGGGGGTTTGGGAGGTGGGGAACCAGAGGGATCAGAGTGGGAGGGACCTGGAGGGATGGGGGTGGGGGCGACAGAGGTGGGGACCCATGGGATTGGGCCACACACACAGCAAGGACAGGTGCGCTGTCAGGGCTGAGACCTGGTGCATCACAGCCCCAACCTGTGGAGAGTAGGGCTGGTTTAGTGGGGGGTGAGAAAAGACGGCTCTCATGCAAACAGGCCCTGTGCCGCCTGCAGTGCATGCTGGCATGACTGGGCTAAAGACTTCTGGCTCCCAGGGCTAGGCTGCCCCACGCCCCCGCTGCAGCACGGATCCCACCAAGCTCCCAGCCCCCAAGGCCTGCCCTACCCTGTAGTCGTATGTGGCGTCAGGGTTCTCATCGCAGGCAATCACCTCCGGGGCCATCCAGTAGGGGGTGCCAATGAAGGTGTTTCTGCGCCCCACCGTCCGATCCAGCTGGGCGCTCACCCCAAAATCCACTGGAGAGGGAGAAGAGGCAGCTGTCGCTCTTCAGCAACCCTCACCTGTGGCTCCACCCCCAGGCAAGGAGTGGTATGGCCTACCCAGAAGCCATCCCTCCCATGCAGGGGTGGAATTGGCAGTTCCCCCCTCTCAGGATGATGGGCTCAGACTCTTGGCAGGCAGAAGTGGCCCACTGTAAAGCAGGCTGAGAAGGTAACATATTGTGGGTGGCCAGGGGAACTCCCTGCCACAGGATGGTGCTGACCCTCCCAGAATTGAACCAGGACTGACATGCTGGCCATCAGAACAGCCAGAGAGAAAGGAAAGAGAAGGGTCTCGGACCCCATCATGTGAGCCAGTCATGAGAGCCCGAAGCTGAGGAGTGGCAAGGGGAAGAGGAGGGGAGGAAGGAGTTTCTCCTGAGGACAGGAGGCTGAAGAGATGCCCACTCAGGGAGCTGGGGCAGCTGCTAGAGACAGGAGTGAGTGGCAGGGCTGGGAATGGAACTTACCCAGCTTCACCTCGGCTTTCTCTGTCAACAGCACATTCTGCCCTTTGATGTCCCGATGGATCACCTTGTGAGCATGTAGGTGAGCCAGGCCCTAGGGAAGCAGGGAAAACTCAGCGGGGATCCAGGCACAGGAACACAGCAGCCCTGGCTCCCAGTCCCCCATCAAACCCACCAGCCCCAAGGAGAGAACCCAGCAATTCTGGCTCCCAGTCTTCCCCTCGTCTGCCCCCCAACAAACCAGCCCCCCACCCACAAAGCCAAGGAGAGAACCCAGCAATCTTGGCTAGCAGCCCCTGTGCTCTAACTACCAGCCCCCACTCCCTCCCAGAGCTGGGAAGAGAACTCAGGCATCCTGGCTCCTAGCCGCCAGCTCTTAGCTGCGCCGTGGTCAGGCAGTGCGGCCTGGCATACCCGCAGGATCTCCCGGCAGATGTACGCGATGCAGTCCTCCTTCAGCGCATTGCCCTTAGTGTTCTTGACCAAGTCTGTGACAGAACCGGCCCCACAGAATTCCATCACCAGCTGTGGGGAAGGCAGAGTTACCAGCCTGGCCCCTCACACCATGCTGCTGGATCTGGGGCATGGCCAGACAGAGATTGGCTGAGCTGGGACAGCCCCATGCACAGAGCTGGGCACAAATGGAGGGGAGGGATGGGCACAGGGTCTCAGTATGGCAGATAGCGACGAACCGTGGTGATCATGCCACGCCAGGTGCTGCACAGACCCACCCCAGCCTGAGATCAGAGCTGCGCTGGGTGCCACACAGACTAAGGATGTGAATCGTCACCCTTAATGGGTGAGGCTTATCAGTTCTGGTTAACCCATAGGGGCTGGAGCATCTGCTCGCTTGCCCCGACCAGGAAGCCCACTGCAGGCAGGGGCTGCTCTGGTCAGCCAGAGAAGTCCCTGTCCATGGTGGGCCCAGCCTGGCCCCCAACATAGGTTACACGCTGGCTCCCTAGGACCCGGCTGCAGCCTTCAGCAAAGCCTCCCTGGAAGTGGAGCTAACAGCCCTTGCCAGCCCTGCTCCCAGGGAGGCTGTGTGGTGAACGCTGCAGTATAAAGCTTATTTAAGTTCAAACTGCAGCCTGCAGTGTGTAGCTGTGTAACCACAAGGATTTGAGGGCTTACAGTTACATTTTGGAAGCACTTTTTACATCCCTAGCAGAGACCCCCCCCAGTCTGAGACCAGGGCCCTGCCACACATGCTCAGAGGCACATAGACTGAGACCAGGGCCCCGCTGGTGCAGGCGCGGCACAGCCCATGTGTCATTAGGCCTGTCATCTGAGTAAGGGTTGGAGGCGTCAGACATGCCCAGGCTGCTAGCCCCTTCTGTGTGCCCAGCCCGTGTCTGTGCCCCCGTGGTGATGTGTGCTCATGCCCAGGCAGCCTGAGGGACTGCCTGCCCCACGCACCCACAGCTGGTCATCATTCCCGGGCGGGCTCTTCTTGATGAAGGCCCCATAGTAGGTGGCGATGTTACGGTGGTGGGAGTATTTCTTCAGCATGTTGATTTCCTGCTTTATTTCTTCCTCCTCATCCTGCATGGGGGAAAGGACTAGGGTTACAGGAAACCCTGCTCCCCCTGGCCAGCTTTGGGGTGTCCCTCATGCCCAACCCATAGCCCCTGCCAGCTCAGCCCTGAGCTCCCTCCAACCATGGCAGTGCCCCATACTCCTGACCCACAGCCACTGCCAGCCCAGGTCTGGTGGTGCCCTCCATCAGAGGGGCAGAGAGCTGAGCCTACAGAAGAGGTGGCAGAGCTGGACTGGGAAAGGCCATGGAGGGATACAAGCCCCAGGGAGGAGGTGCTTTGAGTGCCGAAGCGGAACACTGGTCCCAGAGCATGAAGAGGCCAAAGATCACTGGAAATGAAGGGCTGGAACCAGCAGAGTCCCAGTGCAGCAGGCGAAGAAAGACATTGGGAGGGGAAAGATACCCTTGAGGTCTGAAACTGTGCCCAGCCGGGGGCAGGGCAGAGAGCCGGCCTAGCAGGACTGGGCATGGCCACGCAGTGCTGTTCTTAGTCACAGTGCATTCCAGGCCAGGGAGAGACGAAGAACAAATGGAGTGGAGGACTGAGAAAGGGGCCACTGCTACTCCAGATAGGTTGAGATGCTGTAGGATAATGTAGGGGTGTCCCAGCCCACCCTCCTTCTTACCTCTGTGACGTCCATGACCTTGATGGCTGCCAGCTGCCCTGTCTTGACATGGCGGCCCTAGGAGGCAAAGGCAGAGAGAGGGGGGTCAGCCCATGAGTGCTGGGCACAGATGGGAGGGGAAGCAGCACAGCGCTTGGACCCAGCACCACTGGCTGGCCCGCAGGACTCACCACCATTGGATATTTGCAGCAGGGGACAACAGGTGTCTGGGTTAGAAGGCATGAGGGTGACAGCAACAAGCATTGGGGAAGAACTAACCCATGACTAAGAGGGGGCAGCTGAAAATTCCTCTAATCCTTGCACATCTCCTGGGGTACATGGATGTTTAACAACTCCCCTGCACCCTGCCAGTCCACACTTGGGCCCCCATTGTACCAGGTGCTGCAGATCACCTGCCTGCCCCTCAACTGAGATCAGGCTCCATTGTGCTGCCTGCCCCAGTTGCTGCAAGTTCCTGGGTGCCAGGACGGGGTGCACAGCAGTCATTTGGTCAGCAGGGGGAGCCAGCCCACCACTCGGGGCGTGAATACAGTCCCAGCAGAGAGGAGACTGCCAAGGCCAAAGACAGACCCTAGGTCTGCCAGTCCCCATTCTACTCACCAGACCCTCACCCCCTTCCCACTAGGGATGTAGCACAGTCGTGTAAACAATTAACCAATAAGCCTTGGTGACTACACACAGTTACTGTATCAGAGGCAGCAAGGGGAGGGGCAGGCAGGAGCTGGTACTTATGGGGAGCTGGCTTAAGTACTGGATCCTATGGAGCTGCATGCCCTGCCCGGATAGAGAGGCAGCAATGCTGAGGGTGAGGGGGGCAGGCGGGAGCCAGTACATGTGGGAAGCCAGCTTTTAAGCTGGTGCTCTGAACATACCAGTTCCACAGAGCCTCTTGCCCTCCCCTTTACTGCCTCCCACAGAGGCAGAGAGTCAGGGGTGGGAACTGGTGTGCAGCAGGAGCACCGGCTTCTCGGAGCTGCCTCGCCCCTCCCACACTGCCGCCTCCGCATT